TCAGCCCCCGTAATCCCCTTCCCGCTCCAACTCACCAGCTTATTTCCTGGCTAATTCCCTAAGCTATAAATACTGCTCTGCCTCAAAGGGCCCCGAGGCCCTGCAGCCACCCCGTGGGGCAGGGGCTGGTCCCTCTAGCATGGGGGCAAAAGCCCTTGTCCCTCCTGGGGGCAAAGGATGTCCCTTGGTGGGGGCAGCTGCTATGCGGCCAGTGGGATCTTCGGTAGGGCTAGCTTTAGCCGAGTTCCCCCTGGCTGTGCTGAGGACTGTCCTGTGCTGGGCAGGGTGATCCCTCGGACACCACTCTGCATGGTGCCAGGTGTCCCCAGGAACCTGTGGGGATGGGGAGGTGGGGGGTTCGGGGCCCAAGGGGGAGCCCCGTCCCTTGGCTGAGCATCCCCTCCCCTCCCCAGGCCGCAATGAGCCCCTGAAGAAGGAGCGTCCCAAGTGGAAGAGCGACTACCCCATGACAGACGGGCAGCTGCGCAGCAAGCGGGATGAGTTTTGGGACACGGCACCTGCGTTCGAGGGCCGCAAGGAGATCTGGGATGCCCTGAAGGCAGCTGCATATGCCGTGGAGGCCAACGACCACAGCCTGGCCCAGGCCATCCTCGATGGAGCCAGCATCACCCTGCCCCATGGTGAGGGATGGCACCGGGGGTGCGGGTGGGGTGGGTGCTGAGTGCCACATATCTGGGCACATGGGGGTCCCAAGGTTGGAGAGGAAAGGGGTTCCCAGCTGCCATCCACGCAGCTCAGCCCAACCAAAGGGGGCAACACAGGCTCTACCCCACTGCCTGGGGTAGCCCTGTCCCCATATGGGTGGTCCATGGGGGTGACCACCCACAGCATCTCACCCTTTCGTCCCCAGGGTCCCTGACAGAGTGCTACGATGAGCTGGGCAACCGGTACCAGCTGCCTGTCTACTGCCTGGCACCTCCCGTCAACCTGATTCTGGAGCGGAGTGAGGAGGAGATGGCGGAGCCAGCCGAGGCCCTGCCCAATGCCCGGCGGGAGTTCGCCCTCAAGGTGCGGCTCTCCACCGGCAAGGACCTGCGGCTCAGCGCCAGCATGGGCGACACCATCGGGCAGCTGAAGAAGCAGCTGCAGGTGCAGGAGGGCATTGACCTGGCCTGGCAGCGCTGGTTCTTCTCGGGCAAGCTGCTCACTGACCGCACACGGCTGCAGGAGACCAAGATCCAGAAGGATTTTGTTGTGCAAGTGATCGTCAACCAGCCCCTGCCGCCCAGGAACTGAGCCACCCCTGCACTGGTTGCGGGGAGAGGGCGTGGAGCTGGGGGGGCAGCGGCACCTCTGGGGATGCCCCATGCTGCATCCCAGCCCTGCCGGAGCCAGGGCAGCCCCTGCTCACCCCCAAGGCTGCCCACCACCCGGGTGACCCCCCAGGAGGGTCTGCTTGGGGCTGTGCTGCTGTGGTGGCCCTTCTTGGCTGGGGACACAGGCACATGCTGCGTTTGCTGCAGGAGGTTCAAGACCAAATGTCTCTGGGGCAGTTGGCATGGCCAGGGCCCCACTGCTGGGCTGTGCTGGTGGGGAGAGGCCATGACCTGCTGGGCTCCGGCTCCCCGTGGCCAGGAGGCCCCAGGGTGCTGGGCTGGGTGGAGATGTCTCCCCTCTGTACATAGTCTGTATTTATCAATAAAGCCTTTTCATCCTTCCTCTGTCCATGGGGTAGGTTGGGGAGCTGTCACCCACAGCCATGGGAGGTCCCTATGCCTGTCCTGCATCCGCTCTCATGTCAGGATGGGCACAGGGTGGTCAGGGAGAGCCCAGGTGCCCCAGCTCTGCTCCTCAGTGCCACCTGGACCCCGTCCCACCAGCCCCAGCTCTTTGCTTGCCTGGACCCTTCCTCAGCACTGCTGGCATCATCCCATTACCATCCTGGCTGCTTGCTAGTGTGGGGCCACTGCATGCCTTTCCTGGTGCTTCCCCTCCGGGGGTTTCAGCCTGTGTCTGCCCTGGGGCCAGGCAGGACAGTCCATGGAGGGGGACGGTCCCAGGGCCACCTTTGTGGCCACTGTTGCCTGTCCTGGTGAAAATGGTGCCTTTCCACAGCCAGAGGCTGTGGCACCCATGGGACTGGGCACTCAAGGGTGGCCCTCGGAACTGCCCAGGAGGGTGACAGTGGCATGTCCCCATCTGTCCTTCTGCCAGGTCCTGTGCTGGGGGCTGGTGCCCAGCGCATTAACTGTCCCGGCACAGGGCAGCGCTGGCCTCATCTTACAAAGGGGGAGAGCAAAGCCCGGGGGGGGCTGAACAATGTTCTTGCTGCCGGGAATAGCTGCTGGCTCTGCCCACCGGCCCCACGTGAGGCCAGCCCCACTGCCAGGCTGCCTGTGCATGGCAGGGGAGGTCGGGCAGCCACCGGGAACCCTGGCAGGACTGCTTGGGACGCTCCGCACCTGAGGTCATCCTCCAAAGCGGCTCGGAGGGACTGTGGCTTCTGGCATCACGTGCTGCCTGCTGCTGGCTGAGAGGTTTGGGGAGGCCCCATCGCCTCCCTTTGGGATGGGCAGCAACCCCCTCCCTGGGTGCCAGGGAGCCTTGGGCGATGCCGGTGGGTGCTGTAGCATCTAGTTGCAAGGGAATGGGGTGATGGGAGCCGTGGGGAGCATCATGGCTGCCCAGGGTGGGTGGTACAGCCACAGGACCCATGGAGTGACCTTGGACCATGTCCCTGCTCTGCTGAGCCTCTCTGGACCAGCTGCTGCGGGCTGTGTACACCCCAGCTCCCCACACCCAGCACGGGGGTCCTGGGCAGCCCGGGGCGGGGGGCAGTGGGTCTCTTTAAGAGGGTGCGGGGCTGTGGAGGTGAGCCAGGGCCACCAGAAAGCAGGAGGGTGAGCTCATGGCAAAGCTGCCCCAGTCATGTGGAGCAGCCACAGCTGTTAGTGCCCTTGGGCCATGGGACGGAGGGGCTGGCGGCATAAAGCCCCGCGGCCAGCGGAGTCGCCGGCAGCGCCGGGAGCCAGGGCTGGGCGCTCCCTGCCCGTGGTGGCGAGGAGGAGAGGCTGCATCCTGCGCAGGGCTGTGACCACAGGCAGACATGGAGCTGGAAGTGCAACGAGCCAAGGAGCTCATCGAGCAGAAGCTGGCGGAGGAGGAGGAGGAGGAGAAGGTGGGTCCATAGGGCAGGGGACCTGCCCAGGCTGCAGCAGAGACCTGCCTTGCGCTGTGTCCATCCTTAGGGACTCGGATGTGAGGAGGCTCGCACCAACGCTGCCATCCCGGGGGATGCAGCAAGGTGGCCAAGGGCTCTCAGGGGCATCAGGTCCCCAACCTGAGAGTTCTTGCCCATGGGTCAGAGTCAAGCAGCAGGCAGGTGCCCAGCTTGCCAAGTAGGGCAGGTGGGCAAGCGCAAGACCAAGGGCTGCCCAGAGCCACCTCCACCAGCGGGCTGGGGATGGAGGTGGTGGGGCTGCTCCATGCCTGGCTGGGACCGTGCAGCCCCCCCGTCCCCATGCAGCGACTCAAAGAGGATGGCGCGTGGGAGCCGCCGGCTGTGGAGCGGATGAACACACCAGAGCTAGAGGAGGAGAAACGCCGTGGCCCCAGGAACCGGGGCCTCGAGGCTGTCAAGGTGAGGGGGGTCAGGGTGGGGGAGGTCGGGGGGTGGCTGGGCACAGAGAAGGCAAACAGGGTGCTGTGTGTGTCCCCCAGGGCCAGGAGCGGGTGCGGAAGAGCTCAGTGGACCTGCGGCGGGAGATCATTGACGTGGGGAGCATCCAGCGCCTCATCGAGCTCCGCAAGCAGCGCCGGCAGCGCAGGGAGGAACGGGCAGCCACCCCCGAGCCCCCCCCACCGCCAGAGCCCCTGGAGATTGTATGTCTGGAGGGTCCCAGGGTGTGGGAGAGGGGCTGCTGGGACAGCGGCTGGAGCCCCCGCAGGCCAGCCCCTGGCTCACCCTGCCAGCTGGGGACCTCCCTGGGGAAGCAGGGCAGGGGGTCCCCGTGTTGTCCCCTCTCCTGCACCCCTGTGATGCCCCAGCCCTGAGCCTGTCCCGCCGGCAGGAGGGTCCTGTGGAGCCGGAGACCTTCCTCCGAGCCGCTGTCCAGGGCAAGATGCGTGTCATCGAGAAGTTTCTGGCAGACGGTGGCTCCCCTGACACATGTGATGAGGTAGCATCCCCATGGCCGCTGGCCACCCCCCACCTATGCCCTGCTGCCACGCCCCGCTGGCAGGGGCTGGGACCCCCAGGACGGGGCTGGGGTACACCCAGGCTGGGCCAGGGGTGGCTGGATCCATCTGCCAATGTGGTCCCTCATCCCCCCAGTTCCACCGCACGGCCCTGCACCGTTCCTCACTGGAGGGACACACGGACATCCTTCAGAAGCTGCTGGACAGCGGGGCCACTGTTGACTTCAGGGACCGGGTGAGGCCGTATCCTGCCCCCAGCTCCATGCTGGACTGAGCCTCTGGGCATGGCACAGCTGGAGCAAGAGCAGGGTTGGGGTCCCGAGAGCAGGGCAGTGCTGTCCCCACCTCCAAGGTGGCTGCTGGCAGGGCTCTGCCAGTTCAGCCAGGGCACGGGGGCCAGCTGGGGTGGTGTGGGACAGACTCGGGGTGGGAGTGTCCCCTGCCATGACGTGACCCTCTGTGCCCAGCTGGACTGCACCGCCATGCACTGGGCCTGCCGAGGTGGGCACCTGGACGCTGTCAAGCTGCTGCAGGACCACGGGGCAGACCTCAGCCTGAAGGACAAGGTGTGCAGGGCAGAGCCTGGGGGCACAGGGCTGTGCCAGGGGCATGGGCATGCCCCGGGGGTCCAGGGCTGGCCCTGTGTTGGGTTAGCTGGGGTGGGTGCTGATGCCCTCTGATGTCCATCTCCTTCCCCGTCAAGCTGCTCAGCACCCCCCTCCACGTGGCTACCCGGACCGGGCACCCTGACATTGTGGAGCACCTCATCCACTGTGGTGTGGACATCAACTCCCCAGACAGGGTGAGTGCTGTGGCTCCACAGCTAGCACTGGGGGGAAACACTGATCCCCCCTCCTTTGGCTGACTCCTCCAAGGGCTCCCAGCACCTGCAGCAGGGCATGTCCGGATACACAGGCATCCCTGCTCCAGGGCGCTGGCAGCCACAGCCAGAGCTGGGGCAGGCACCGTCCCCCTTGTCCTTGTGGGGACGTGGGTGTACGGGGAGCTGGGGAGCAGTGCCAGGGACTGGCAGGGGGTCCCTGTCCCTGGAACTGGACCACGATCCCCAGCCAGGCTGCGTCTCTTGCAGGAAGGCGACACGGCGCTGCATGACGCCACACGGCTGAGCCGCTACAAGATCATCAAAATGCTGCTCCTGCATGGGGCCGACATGATGGCCAAGAACCAGGTAGGCAGGGGGGCCGGCACCAGGGCCATTTGCTGCCCCAACATGTCGCGCCGCCCTGGCCCCAGCCTCTCTCTGCCCGCTCTTGCAGGCTGGCAAGACCCCGACAGACCTGGTGCAGCAGTGGCAGGTGGACACACGCCAGGCACTGGAGACCAAGGAGCAGCCTCAGGGGGAGACGGAGGTCCCCGCATGACGGTGCCGGGCAGGCACCAGGGACTGGGCTCGGCTCCAAGGAGCAGGATCCAGCTGAGACTTGTCCATGTCAATAAAAGCCAGCAAAGAGCAACGTTCACCTCCAGGGGGCTGTGGGGCTGGGCAGCCTGTGCCAGGGGCGACGGGGCTGGGGAAGCTGGGTTATCCGGGGAACTGGGTTATCGGGCAGCATGGATGTGCCCTGCCTCCTAGCACATGGACTCAAGTGTCAGTGACACCATGGGGACAGGACACAAGTGGTTCAATGGTGGGAGTCCTCCCTGCGGGATGCCCTGGTTGATCGCAGTGCTTCAAAGTCCCACCTGGGCAAGCTCAGGGCAGAAAACTACATCGAGGGCAGCTCAACCCGGGTCTGCGCTGTGCTGGAGGCTGGGGTTGTGCTGCAGAGCAGCAGTCATACCCCTGCCGGGCAGCCACTTTGCAGGGCTGGATGGCTGCTTGTTCTCCTGCCTTCTCCGCTGAAGCCATCCCCGGGGGGATACGGTGGCCCCTTTGCAGGCTGGGTCACTTCTGCTGAGTGCAGCGCTCACTGCTCCTTACCCTGAAACGCTCCCACTCACCTGTTTACAGGAGACCCTACACCAACACCCAGAGCAGGCAAACCCTGCCCACAGCCCTGGGACTCCCTGCAATGCCTGCTCCCTCCCTGGCCCTGCAGCGCGGCCCCGCAGGTGGCAGAGGGATGGCTGCCAGGGCTGGCAAGTGGAAGAGAAAGCACAGCTGGGGTGGCTGGGGCTCACCCGGAGGGGTGCTGAGCTCCTGCAGCCAGCTCCTGGAGGAGGGGAGAGCATTCTGAGCTCACCGGGTACAACCCCCCACATCGTCCACCCAGCCGGGTTGCGGGTTCCTCACGTGCCCCATCAAACATTAACAGCCCCTCGGCAGGGCAGGCGGCACGGCCAGCGGCAGCACCCAGCCACCATGGCGCTCAGCACCTGCCTCATCTCACCCCTCCGGCCTGCCCTGGCAGCTCTGTGCCGGGCAGCCCCTGGGCAGTGCCGGGGGCTCAGCGCCCAGCCGGGACCAGTGCACACACTGAACCTCAGGGGCATATTCCCGCCCCTCACCACCCCCTTCTCGGCCACACAGGAGGTGGACTATGCCCAGCTGGAGGGAAACTTGTGCCGCTATGCCAGCATCCCCTTCCGAGGTAAGTGCTGCCCACCGCCCCACTCCATGCAGGCTCCTGCCACATCCCTGCCCACCACAGGGGCTGTGCAGCAGCAGACAGACAACCTGCCGGCTTCCCAAGGGTTCTCGGCCTCCAGCTGGACTTTGCTCTGGGACTGGCAGCCCCCACCGGGGGCCCTTTGCACGGCAAATGCCCAGGCAGCCCAGGCACATGCGTGTGTCCTTGCACACCCCTGCCACACTCCAGTGCATGCTTGCATGCACACTCCACACGTGTGCAGGCTTGCACACATCCTCCACATGTAGCTGCAGGCTTGCACCTACCCTCTGCGCACCCATGCGCACACACAGATTCAGCACCACGAGATGCATATCTGTTGATTGCCCAGGTTGGATTGGATGGGAGGAGAGGAGCTGCAGGAAGAGGCTGGGGGTCACAGTGATGTGCCCTGGGGTCTCCCCTCTTCTGACCAGGCTGTGAGTTCAGGGCTATGGGGACCAGGACAGGAGAGGGCACACTGAGGGCTGCAGAGCCCTGTCTGGGTGCCCAGGGGCAAGGGAGAGAGGATGATGGGGACACCCAACCCTCCTGGCATCCTGGAGCACTGGATGAGGCGGCAGAGCCTGGCAGTGCTGGGCTGGAGCTGGCCTGCCTGTGCCCTTAGTGCTGGCAGGGTCCCAGGGAAGGGGTCTGTGTGTCCTAGCCAGGGACAGGGCGGCACAGCCTGGCTGCGGGCACCAATAAATGCCTCGCTAGCAGTGCTGTGTGGGGCAGTTTCTGGGGTCGGAGGCATGCAGGGTGCGTTCGGCACACATGGTGCATGCACAGCACACATAAGGGTGCCTGGGTAAGGGATGGCACTGCTGGTGCTCAGGGCGGTGCAGGTGGGCACTGCCATCTGGGGGGCACATACCCCACATGTGCCCTTTGTAGGGGAGCCCAGGGCTCTACGGGGCACCTGCAGGAGCCTCCTGGCCCAAGAGGCACTTGGGTGCCTGGTGTCCACCTCAGAGTGGGGTGTGGAGAGGGCAGGATCAGCCGCCCTGTGGGCACCCTGCTCCTATGCCAGAGCCCTGCCCTCCCCATGCTTGTGTTTCAGGGCTGGTGGTGCTGGGCTCCAATGGGGAGTACCCCTACCTGGCACTCCGCGAGCGGCTGGAGCTGGTGAGCTGCGTGCGCCGGGCTCTGCCCAGGGACCGCCTGCTGCTGGCTGGCTCGGGCTGCGAATGTGAGTGCCTGCACAGGCAGCGTGGGGGCCATGTGTCACCCTCGGGGCATCCCTCACCCTTCTGCCTCCTCCCCAGCCACCCAGGCCACCATCGAGCTGACGGTCAGCATGGCAGAGGCAGGAGCTGATGTGGCGCTGGTCGTGACGCCCTGCTACTACCGGGGGGCCATGACGAGCGCTGCCCTGGTGCAGCACTACACAGAGGTGAGCCATGCCAGTGCCCGCTGGCAGCCCCAGCTGGGGCACCAGGATGGGGAGCGTGTCCCGCATGTCTCTGACCCACCCCAGCTGCTGAGCTCTGCCTGGCTGCCCGCAGGTTGCTGATGCATCCCCCATCCCTGTGGTGCTCTACAGCGTCCCTGCCAACACTGGCCTGGACCTGCCCCTGGAGGCTGTCCTCACCCTGGCTCAGCACCCCAACATCCTTGGGATCAAGGACAGCGGTGGGGACGTGAGTGGGGCAGGGTTTTCCCTGGGCTAGCTGCCACCAAACCTGGCCCCAAGCTGGGAATGGGGAGCTGGGGCTTGCAGCCCTTCCGCAGACCCCAGGGGTGCCAGCAGGAGCCCTACAGCAGCTGGACGGGGTGATGCCTGGCCCAGGGCACAGCATGTCTCTCCCCAGATCACTCGCATGGGGCTGATGGTTCACAAGACACGGCAGGAGGATTTCCAGGTGCTGGCGGGATCAGCTGGCTTCCTGCTGGCCAGCTACGCTCTGGGTAGGTGCTGCTGCCCCCGCCTGCCCAGGGACACGGGGTGCTGCCCTGGGGACACTGGAGGGGACTGGCAGCCGGGCAGGGGGAGGCAGGCGAGGGGTGGCGATGCCCAGGAGGTGCTGGCAGGGTACGGCGTGCTGACCCGGCTGCCAACGTGCCCTGATGTCCCCCAGGTGCCTCTGGGGGGGTCTGTGCCCTTGCCAACGTCCTGGGGGCCCCACTGTGCCAGCTGGACGGCCTGTGCCGTGAGGGGCGCTGGCAGGAGGCCCGCGACCTGCAGCACCGGCTCATCGAGCCCAACCTGGCGGTGAGCAGGCAGCACCCCCCGGGATGCTGAGGGGTGGGGGTGCTGGGCCATGGCAGAGCCGGGGGGTGGCAAAGGATGGAGGTCTCTGGGGCTGTGGGGGGTGGAGCGGTGGTCCATGGGGAATAGGATGGCACAGCAACCAGCCAGCAAGCCAAGCCGGGCTGGGGTGGGAAATGCCAGCCCTACCGTGCCAGGAACAGTCTGTCCACTGGCATCGGGCACCTGCCTGACCCCCCACAGGAGCCTTGCCACCTATTTATAGGCAGTGATGGGGGGAAAAGCTGCTCCTACCCAGGCCCCCCACCCCACCGTGGGGTGGCTCGTCCCTGCTGCAAAAAGCCCACCATGCCACAGGGATGCTCTCCTGCGTGGCCATGCTCTGCCCCCCACCCCACGGTGGGCACTTCACGGGGGGGCTGAAGCCACCCTGCACCCTGCTTAGCCTTGCAGCCCCACATGGGGGAGGGCAGGAGTGATGGCGAGCGAGGAGCAGAGTCAGCAGGAGCTGGGTCCATGAAGCATGTCGCCCTGTCCCATGGGAGCTGGCAAGCCCCTGCGCCTTCTCTCCCACAGGTCACCCGCCGGTTTGGGATCCCAGGACTGAAGAAGGCCATGGAGTGGTTCGGCTACTATGGGGGTCCCTGCCGTGCACCCCTGGCCCCGCTGAGCTCCCCCCAGGTTGAGGAGCTGAGGGGCATCTTCAGTGCCAATGGCTGGTTGTGAGGGCTCCCCCCTGCCCCATCCTGCACTGGGAATGTGTGGGAGCCAGGGATCCCAGGAACTGGGGCTGTGGTGGGGACACCAGGAAGTGGCCAGGAGAAAGCCACCCATCTCATTCCTTCCTGCTGGACAGGGCTGCCTTGGGCAGAGTGGGTATGGGGGACACCCAGCACCCCCTGGCCACCCTTGCATCCCTGCCAGCCCCTGGGGTCCTGCCGTCCCCGCCTGGGAAGGGATGGATCCCTGTGCCGTGAGCTGGGAATAAACCTGCTGCCCCCACTCTGTCTGCAGTCCTGCCTGCGCAAGCAGCCCCCCACCTGGTCCCTGCTCCCGGCAAAAAGGACACGGCCCGGGCGTTTGGCAACGTGGTTTACTCAGCTGAGGCCCATGCAGGCAGCAGCACAAGGCAGGGTCACGGCAAGGCACGGGACCGGTGCGGGCAGAGACCGGCAGGGAGGGCACGGCCCCTGCAGCCCACCACCGGGCTGCAAGGGCTGCCAGAACCCCCACGCCGCAGCCAGCCAGACCACACTGGGGGTGAAGGTGGGCACGCAGGGGGGAGATGAAGGATGTGTGCAGGGGGCAAGATGGGGCCATGTGTGCCCCCTGCCCACCCTGCCTGCCCCTTCACCATGCCCCTATCCCCGCCTGCCCTGCCCAGCCCTGACACCCCATGCAGCCCTGCTCACGCCCCTCATCCCGAGCTCCGGCTGACCCTGCTCCTTGCTTGCCATCGCTCCTGCCCTCCCCCAGCATGCAGTGGACATGGGCTGGGCTGGGCATCCCCCGGTCCCCCTTGGTGGGGATGACACTGCAGATGTCCCCAAGGCAGTGGGTGGACTGGATTGGCACAGGGATGAGGGGAATACAGCCCACCAGCTGGTCCTGAGAGCAGGCTGGGTTGTCCGCAGGCACCATGTCGCCCTGGCCAGGGCACACGGGGGGATGGCCAGTCACCCAGAGCTGAGAGCGCAGGCCGTGGGGTGCCTGGGGTGCCCACCCTGCCTCAGGACCAGGGTAGCAAAGCGGGCCAGGAGCTGCCCCTCTGTGGGCATATGGTCCAGCCAGCAGCCCCTGGCCAAGGCACCCCGGCAGTGGGGTCAGGGCCCAGCCCCAGCCCCTACACCCCTGCTCCATCCTCTGCAGCAGGCTAGCAGCCCTGGTGGTCCACAGCCTTCCTGGGGGGCAGAGGGGCCGAGCCCCGGCCACCCTGTCCCCTGCGGCTCCGGCAGGTGCCAGGGCTATAGCCAGAGAGAGAAGGCACCACGGCTGCCCTGGGGCACTTGGGTGGAGAGCGGAGGGCCCCGTCCCCCCCAGCGTTGGGGATTTAGCAGAGGGGAGCTTGGTGGGGACGGAGGGCACGGGGGCACCCGGCAGTGCCACATCCCTGCTCCGGGGCTGGCGGGGCCAGCCAGTGCCCAGTGGGGGGGTCCCCGCTGCGGCAGGAGGGGACACAGGGCACCGTCACGCTGTCAGGTTGTGGGCAGACTTGGAGGCACCCTGGGCCCTCTGGATGACGGCCGGGCACTTCTCCCGCCGCAGCAGCTTGTTGTTCTCAAAGAAGCCCTCGTTGCGGGGCACCCCATGGGAGCCATCAGGGAAGGTCAGGAGACCTGGGGAGGGAAGGGCTGGCAGTGAAGGGGCAGGGACCAGCACCCACCAGGACTGGGGCTGGAGGGACAGAGCGGGAGACGCTGGATAGGGCCATGCTGAACTGGGGCCGCGCAGGGCTGCGGCTGCCTGCACCATGCTGCCGGGCACTCACCGAAGCCGTACACGCGCCCGCCTTTGAACTCGCCCTCAAAGGTCATGTTGTCACAGCGGGTGAAGACGCCGACGCCGTTGAACTTGCCCTGCACAAACTCCCCCTCGTACCTGCACAGGAGGAGCTCCTGAGGCAGCAGCTCCCCACGGCAAGTTGGGATGCCCAGGGGGAGTGTATGCAGGGGTGCCACGCTCACCTGGAGCCGTCGGAGAAGGTGAGCACACCGCAGCCATGGAAGAGACCGTTCTCGAAGTGCCCCACATAAGCGGTGCCGTCAGCAAACGTCAGCTGCCCGACACCGTGCCTGCGACCTAGGCAAGGGCAGAAATGGGCAGCACTGAACAGATGGAGGCAGGGACTGCCCCGGCGTGGTGCTGGGCAGGCACGTGGGGGCTGCTCGGCCCCCGGCGCAGGCAGCACCATCCCCTCCTGCCCTGTCTCACCTTCCTTCCACTCGCCACGGTACTCCTCCCCGTTGGAGTAGGTGAAGGAGCCTTTGGTGAGGGTCATGGTGACAGCCTCCGGCAGCACAGGGCAAGAGCTGGCAGGGAGAAGTACGGAGGGTGGCTGCTGGGCAGGGGGAGCAGCCCGGCTCACCCAGACCCCCTGCATCCCCTTGGCTCACAGAGAGGCACACGTCTGCCCCGGGGACGGCTCTGCTGGGGCACGCTGCAGACGAGGAGGTGACCCCAGGAGCACAGCCACCCTGCCCTGCCTCTGAAACCCCAGCCGCCAGGTTCGGGTTGCTGCCCGCCCCACTGCAGGGCTCAGGGTGATGTGAGCCCATGGGGGTCACAGCCCCGTGAAACGTGAGTGAGCGGCAGGAAGAAGAGCGTGGCAGGAGCTGGCTGCCTCTGGCACAGCTCCCTGGTGGCAGGCTCAGGCCAGGGGCTGCCCTCAGCTCTGCTGGGGCAGTCCCACAAAGAAACAGGCATTTTGGAGAGGAGACGCTTGCTGGGTTGTGCTCTTCAGGGGAGGGAGCAGAGAGCTTGTGGGGCTTCCTGCTCCAGCATCAAGGATGGGCAGACCTGGGTCACACCCCGGGCATGGAGTGGCTGCTCCTCCTAAGAGGAACAGCGGAGAGAGGACCCTGGGGCTCCAGGGCTTTGCTTGGCTACCCAGGGTTTGCAAACCTGCCTGCTGACAGCAAGCAGCCCCCGGAGGCCTGCACAACCCCAGAGCCGCAGCCACGCAGCACAGCTCTCCCCAGCACACATGGAAGTCACCAGCATGGAGACAGCCCCACAGGTGGGCTGGGTGCTGCCTCTCCAGCGGCTCCTGGTGCGGCTCAGGCAGTGCCTGTGGCAGGAAGGGGCTCCCTGCTTCCAAAGGGAGCACCCCTGCTCACACGGGGCTGTGCGTCCCTGGAGAGATGGGTGCTGAGCCACGCTAACCAGCCAGGCACAGTACCCGGGAGCACAGCAGGGAGCTTGCAAGGGCTTTGTGTCCAGAGGAGATATGGCCCTCAGCCAAGCCAGCAGCAACTGAACAGTGCTCTCTGCTGATGGCAGAGACCAGGGACTCAGCACAGGCTGCCCAGTGTGCAGCCTGCCCAGCACCTCTCGGGAGGCCTCCAGCAGTGCCAGCAGGAGGAGAGGGTGCTGCCAGGGGCTGTTAACGCCTGCTGCAGGGGAGGGCTCCCTCCACCAGCATGGCCTGTGCCTGGACCTGTGACCATCTGGCGGACGGGCAGCATTTGCCCTATGAGCAACCCACCCTGCCCAGCAGCTGGATGTCCCCCCACTGGCACCCACCCACGCCAGAGCCCTGCACACGCCGCACCCACCGCAAGCAGGGGTGATGCGTGCAGCACAGCCCGAGCTGCGCACACCTCCAGCTCTGAGCCCACGAGCTACCCAGGCCGCACACCCACGGGCTGGAGCCACACACGGGGGGTGAGGGGTGCACGACCCAGCTGGGCCACGCACCCCCGGGCAATGCATGCGCACCCTGCCCGTGCCACGCACCCACGGCGGGCACACGCACACCCCACCTGGGCAGCGTGCCCAGAGGTGGCAATTGCACCCACGGCTGACGCATGCACGCCCCACTGTATCGACGCCCCACCAGCTCCATGCACCCGTGGCTGATGCGCCTGCGGGCGATGCATGCACGCCCCACCGGGTCCATGCGCCCACGGGCGATGCATGCACGCCCCACCGGGTCCATGCGCCCACGGGCGATCCAGGCACGCCCCACCGGGTCCATGCGCCCACGGGCGATGCACGCACGCCCCACCGGGTCCATGCGCCCACGGGCGATGCATGCACGCCCCACCGGGTCCATGCACCACGGCTGATGCGCCCACGGGCGCTGCGGGTACGCCCCACCGGGACACGCGTGGGGATGCCCGCAGGCCCGGTGCCTGCCCAGGGGCGGTGCGGGCGGGCCGGGCGGCGCAGGGACCCGCGGTCCGCGCTCACCTGGCTCC